ATATATGTATGCATGTGTGTATATATATATATATATATATATATATATATATATATATATATATGTACAGTATATATATGTATGTATATACTAAAATAAACTACTACTTACTACATGTACTACTACTATTCCTACTTTGAGGCTTTTCACTTATCGCTGGTCGGCTGAGAACAGAAACCCCTGCGATAAATGAGGGACTACTGTATTTTTCTTCTATTTCTTTGTGCCCTAGAAACCCCAACAACAGTGGAGCGGCCTGCTCTAAAATAAATTTTTGTCACTTTTCCCTGATCCTGTCATCTGTAAACTTTGATTGTGGGCTTAAAAAGTTAATAACAGACCAAACCTAAAACAATGACAATAAAATAAAACAAAGGACAGTTGTTTTGGGAATGTTTTCAGACAAACTATGAACATTTTGTCTCTGTACTTTGGTACGTGTTAATGTGAAAGTTCTGGTGTTCTGAAGTACTTCATAGGTTTTGTTTAAGTTTCTGCTTGTCATCTGGATAAACATTTATTTTAATGTAATGGGAAAAAGTAATTTAAATGAATAACTGGGATAGTGTCGACAGGATCAACATCTTTTAAAATGGTTTTGAATTTTTATTTTATTTTATTTTTTAAATAGCATTCAATTAATGTAATTTGATTAGGTCAAATTAATCTTTCTTGGTAAAGGTCACATTTGTTTGATTTCACACTAAAGAGTTAAATATATCTCAGTCAACCAGAAATCACTGCACGTTTGTGTTGCCTGTCTCCATCCTGTATAAACTAAGGCAACAGGACTTTTACTTTTCAGACCTGGTAAAACAAACGGTTTCTTTTTCTGCGTATTGTTAAATGAATTTGGCCGATCCAGTTATATTTAGAAACAATAGTAGATTCAAAATCTGATTCCCAACACATGTTGGGCTAAAACAACAGAACTGATCATTTCACGAAGAATTTACAGTAATTGTTTTGGAAATTTAGTAAATGTATTTTTTTTATTTTGTACATTCAACAAGTTAGTTTTTAAGCGTTGGATTTACATGCCACCAACTAAAATAAATATTTAACTAATCTAAACTTAATTATTTTAAGATATGTAAACATAGTTCTATTATAAGTCAGTCAAACATGTGCCATGGTAGCAGTTTAATGTATATTATTTTATTTATGTCTACCTGCACAGCACCTGTTAGACACGTCCATAAAATATAGACAGGAGACTTGGCTCAACTAAGCTCCACTAAAAATAAATATTTTACAATAAAATGGAGCTATACAGCTACAAAAAGCAGCTGAAGGCAGGTAAAAAGTCCTCTTTTTCTGGGATTTATGTATTTACAAATCAATTTTCTTACACATATAATGCATACAATAAAGATTCAGCAAAATAAATCTTAAAATCTCAACTGCTTCACTTGTAAATGCTTATTTTACATTTATTTTGACAGATGTTATGCACGTCCTGCTCCTGGGACAGCACAGAGATAAATCACGAACTGCTGTAAGACGTATAGTAGGGATGAGATGTGATTTGTCCAAATAAAATCATGAGCATCCTTCAAGATGAGCACTTCTAACAGAAAGACAGAGCAAAAATGAAGAGCTGGTAGTATGTGTGTGACTTTGGTGTGGTTGTTAATCACACAAATGGACCATAATTTTGTCACGATCCGGGTATGAATGATCGCGTTTTCTGCTTTGTGTCTGCCTTACTGAGGTGGCAACACACACTCTGTCACACACACTTCTTCTTCCAGCTCCGACAGTTCGACAGGGGTGACTAAAGCAAACATATGAAGAGAAATGCACAAAAAAATTAAATGCAATACCTCTGATGAGATGGCAACCGGCCACCTGTTCAATGGTATCCATTTGTAAAAGCTGTCGCAATCAAGGGGCCCTAAAAGAGTTAGTGCGTTGGTCAGTATGCATGTCAACAAGAGAAAAGTGAGTATCAAAACAACTTTAATCCTCCATGATCCAGTTGGATCATGTTGAGTAGCACAGCAGACTAGCAGCTCTTTATGTCTTTAATGGAGGCACAGATTGAAAAATTACAACAATTTTAATGGCAAACATCTTAAAAAGATTTAGATGTCCTCAATAAAGAAAGTGACTCATTTACAAGTATAAACTTTAAATCCTTTCTTCTTTAACAGGCTATAAAAAGGTACACTGAATATTAAAAAATAAAACATGCAAGAGATAATACACACAATCACCATTCATGCTAACACAAATTGATTTAATCTGAAAGCATGCACCATAAACACCCCTCAGTGTTTGTTTTTTTTAACTTTATTACATTTATTTATTTTGGAGCTCAGTTTATTTCCTGCTGCAGGTCTGCAGACAGACAAAAAGAGGAACTTTCAGCAGCGATTATTTGTCTTTATCACCTCAATCAACTAATTGCGCTCTAATTGTCCTGCATTAAAAAAGTAAGGATCATTTCTGCTTCTTCGCAGTGACCGTTTTCATAATGGCTAAAGAGGTTAACACAATCAGCAGAGCGCGAGACAAGAGGGACAAATCAGTGGATCTGAACTCATCCGTGAGGCTGTGAGATGTAAAGATTATACGCACATCCTGTTCAACGGCATCCTCGGTTAAAGAAACGAATTATCGAGCATATTTTAGTTCTAAATCATTTCCTGTTTTAATGTTCTGAATGGAGAGCTCGTGTGGCTGAGAGCAGGAAGTCAGACTGCTGCACCTCTCTGCTTTACTGCTCTCGTTTTGATTCACTCTGCAGTTCTGAAGTGCTTGATTTAACATGTGGTAATATCACAGACACAAGCTGACATTCTGTAATGAAACCACAACCCCCTGCTTGAACTACACGACTGTAATTTAGCAGATTTCTCACTGATCTGTTACGTAAATGAGCCATCTTTAAATGTTATATTGTAAAAAGCCTGAAGATTCAATTCTTTGTTTTTTTTTTCTTCTTCCATGCATCAAACCGTGTCAAAATCTGTGCTTACAAACTGTTGCAACAAATTAAAAAAAACGAAAGAAACAAATGGCCTAGAATCCATTTATATAATATTTGCTGGTAAATTTGTCTTGAAAACGAGCCAGCCTGGTCTTTCCCGGCAAATATTTTGCTTTCTACACTGACTGCAACAGATTCTGGCACGCAGGAAGTGGAGCTAAAACTATTAATGACCAAGGCTTTGCTTAGGACGCACGCCACACACACACAAAAACCCAACAACAATAGGTGTTTTTGGTTTTGCATGAATATCAAATCAACTGTACAGCTCATAAAAAAGAAGCTAAATCTTCTGCATGTTTTTGTTCTGCATAAACATTATGCAACCTATGATTCCAGAACACAGTGTTTTGCACAATATATTAATAAATAAATGAGGTTAGTTTTGCAGGAAATCTAAGTTAATGATGTGTTTGGAAAGAGTACTTTGTCCCGCAGGACTTGCTTGTGGTACTAATGGGCCTCCATCTATGTTACGCCATACATTAATTACCTTCCTTCAGAAATTATATATATATATATATATATATATATATGAGAGACTTGATTTAGACATGTAAAACAGCACAAGCATGCTTCTAGACCTGACTGACAACTAAATACTTTCCTAAAGGAAGCTGTTGAACTTGTGCTGAAGTACAAAGTACTTGTCCAATATGATCCTGTTTATATTTATTATTCCGACTACTTTACCTATTCCGTATGTTTTTCGGCATCTTTCTTGTTCTATAATTTTTGTGCTATTTATTCTTTTTGCCTTTTTAGTTACTATTCAGCTGGATCTGTTTTTGCAAATTTCTGCTTGTTTCTGATAAGTTCCACTGTTTTGTGCTCATTTCTGCTTCTTCAAGCCCAATTGGGCACAGTTGTGCTCTCTCCACTTCCTTCTGTCATTTTAAGCTTCTTTCTGCATTTTGGCTACTATTTAGCTGTTTTTTTAGGGCAAATCTCTACTTTTTCCTAGATACATTTTTACCTTTTTTGTGCTAATTTCTGCGTCTTTAAGCCTAATATGGCACAATTGTGGTCTCTCAACTTTCTTTTGGTAATTTAAGCTTCTTTCTGCTTTTTAGCTACTATTCAGCTGTTTTTTTTTTGCAAATTTATGCCTTTTTTAAAAAAGATATCTTTCACTTTTTATGCTCATTGGTGGTGGCTTATCTGTGGTGCTGGCAGACATCTTTAACACCTCACTTACCCTGGAGACAGTTCCCACCTGCCTGAAGACTGCCACCATCATCCCAGTCCCAAAAAGCTCTACAGTGACTGGTCTGAATGACTATCGGCCAGTGGCCCTCACCCCGATAGTCGCTAAATGCTTCGAAAAACTGGTCATGACTCACATCAAAACAACCATCAACATCAACGAGGACCCTCATCAGTACGCATACCGTGAGAACCGATCAACAGAGGATACCATCTCCTCTGTGGTCCACACTGCACTCAACCACCTGGAGCAGAAAAACTCTTACGTCCGTATGCTCTTTGTGGACTTCATATCCGCCTTCAACACCATGATCCCCCAAACCCTGATGGACAAACTATCCACACTAGGACTAAGCCCCTCCATCTGCAACTGGGTACTAGACTTTTTAACAAACAGACCACAGTTAGTGAGGATCCACAACCTCTCCTCCTCCACCATAACCCTCAGCACTGGCTCTCCTCAGGGATGTGTGTTGAGCCCCCTCCTGCTTACTCTGCTCACATATGATTGTGCAGCTACCCATCCAGGCTGTCACATTGTAAAGTTTGCAGATGATACAGCGGTGGTGGGATGCATCACAAACAATGATGAGTCCAGCTACAGGCAGGAGGTGGAACACCTGGAGAGCTGGTGCAGAGAGAATAACCTTCACATCAATGTGAAGAAGACAAAGGAGATGATTGTGGACTTCAGAAGGAACAAAAACACCTACACCCCCCTGAACATAAGAGGATCTGCGGTGGAAGTGGTCTCCAGCTACAAGTACTTGGGTGTACACATGAATGACAACCTCAGCTGGAGCAACAACACCACCAGCCTGATCAAGAAAGCTCATCAGAGACTCTACTTCCTCCGACGGCTGAGGCGAGCTGGTCTGGGAAGCTCAGTCCTCACCTCCTTCTACAGGTGTGCAGTGGAGAGCATCCTGTGCTCCAGCATCAACGTGTGGCATGGAGGCTGCACAGCTGCAGAAAGAAAAGCTTTGCAGAGAGTGGTGAAGGCTGCACAGAAATCTGTTGGAATCAGCCTCCCCACCATCACAGACATCTACACCTCCAGATGCAGGAAGAGGGCCACCTGCATCATGAAGGACCCCACCCACCCAGCACACACACTTTTTGCCCCACTCCCCTCAGGAAGGAGGTTAAGGAGCATTAAGTGTAGAACCACTAGACTGAGGAACAGCTTCTACCCTGAGGCTGTTAGACTCATGAATCTCTAACTAGAATAATCACTGTGAAAAACCATATCATGTTGCTGCTGATCTGTTTCATGTTGCTGCTGATCTGTTTCAATGTTGATGTGTTCATGCGTGCACATCTGCTCACAGACTCATGTTCATGTTTGTGCTGATGTTCAATGTTTTATGTTATGAGTGCTTAGTGTATATTTAGTTGATGTTTTTCTTAGTTCATATCTTAGATGTTATTACTGTTTTTCTTATACATTTTATTGTTGGATGTAACTGGGACCCTGTGTACATAATTTCGCTCCACCACATGTACCACATGAGGTGCGAATGACAATAAAGAAACTCTGACTCTGACTCTGACTCTGACTCATTCCTGCTTCTTTTAGCCTAACTGGGCACATTTGTGCTCTCTCCACTTCCTTCTGGTAATTTCAGCTTTTCAGCTGTTTCTTGCCAATTTCAGCCTTTTTTTTTAAGCTAATTTACTCATTTTTGTGCAAATTTCTGCTTATTTTAACCGAATTCAGCAAATATGTGTTCTTTCTCTGACTCTGACTTTCAGTTTTCTTCTGTTAACTTAGGCTTGTTCTTCAATTTCAGCTACATTTCAGCATGCTTTTAGCTTATTTCAGCTGTTTTTCAGCAAGTTCTTCAGCAATAAGCATTCATACTGCATTTTTGCTGGAAATGTAGTTTCTCTAGTTATTTAGTGAAGTTCAATGTAATAACAGTAACATGTAAAAGTGGGCTCAGTCTTCTTTGGCCAACTTTGTTCTTCATCCCTTCATGTACAACAAGGCTTGAAACATAATGGTCTTTTTTCACTCATAAGCACTGAAGAAGTCCAGGAGACGGGTTTAGATTGTTATTTAGACCTTTTTTGTGCTTTGTGTTCACACAGCAGGAGATTTTCTGCTGATGAGCCTAATCTGAAATATGGAGTGGATATAATGAAACAGCTGTCTAAAATTCAGAGTGGAGAGACTGAAATAAGTGTCCTGGACAGAGCTGTTTTAGTTACATTGTAGATGGTCTTTACTGCATTTGAATGTGCCCACAAACTAGGTTAAATGTGCACTTTTTATGCCCCTCTCTGGAACATCTTTCAAACTGCAGGGAATGTGTGAACAAAAAAAAGAAGCTTAATTTAAATTACTGTTGCTGTTTTTGAGATGACATTATTTTTCTATTCATCAACACCTGTGTTGAGTTTAATTCTGACCAGTTTGACGAGCTGACAGCTAGTCCAAGTGGGGCTAAAACCAACATGGATTCCTGTCTTCAAACGACTCCGATCACAAGGATTTCTATTTGTGAGACACTGCTTTAGACATGATTTCCTCCTGCCTTTTTTTTTTGCTCTCTGTCTGTGTATCGGAGCTCCTGTTACACATCTTCCGAAACTAAAACTACCTGGGATACGTGTAAACTAAGGAAAAGCTTTGTCTATCGCGCACACACCCCTGCCCCAGAGAACTTCTGTGAAGGCTTATCAGAACTGTGCCGGCTGACCAACATCTTCTCAGGACTATGGACCATCTGGAAGTGCTTCATGGACAAATCTCACCGTCTTGTCATCAGATGCATATGTAACGTGTTCATAAATGTGCTTGCTGGCAGAGTTTTTTTGACGTCTTAAATTGTGTCCTGATAGGACAAGGTGTGAAGAGATCTTTTTTTTTTTTTGTAATGTTCATACTCATGAATTTTCCCCATTTTCTATCTAAAAAGTATTCTGAAAAAGGATAAGGGGCCGCGCTCCTGTAGCAGCAGCAACGTGCACTCCGCCCATCTTTCAGACGACTGTACGAACATAATCTCACTGTATTTCAGTACAATGATAATAAAGTTTTTTATTTTCATTCATTCAACCTTTATTTAGACAGCTTAATCCCATTGAGCCTCGAGGACTCATTTACAAGAGAGACCTGATTTCAACAAAGAATGATGAACAAATAATTTTCTGAATCTGAATTATGGTAATAATCAACCAATAACAATCTGGTTAAAATCTAACTTGATATTTGGAGACAATTTAAGGATCCCCTTGATGTTTCATGACTCCCCCGATGACAAACTTTGGGAACCAGTGGTCTGAAGGTTTATCATTTACTGTTCACATAAACTACTATGACATTTTTGAGACTACTGTTGTACTAAGAGGACATCTATCCACTTTGGTCTTTGTTTGATATGACTAGTCTTTAGCTCACCAAGCTGATCAGAATTAGATATTATTCCTGTAATTTTTCTACATTTCTTCAAGAAACATGCCTTTAACTACACAGTAACATTTAAACCCGGTCTAAATGGTTGCAAGGATGTAAATAATTATTCTTAGACTCATTAATGAACAAAGCGATTAATGAAAGCACTGAGTAAAGGCGCAGCAAGGTCCTCCTATCTTAAAGAAAAACCAAACAACTACAGCCAGGTCATTAACAAACTGGATGAACTTGTTGCTGTCAGTGAATATGTCTCTACAGGTTTTAAAAAGATAAATCTATAACTTGGGTTTGACAGCTAATTGATTAGCTAGGGGGAAAAAAAGCAAGCAAGCGGCTACACATGAAAAAGGGCACTTGCAGTAAAAGTGCTGCTCTAATGATGGAGCGACCTGAAGCTCTTGGAAAGATGAGTTTCTAAACTTTTTTTTTTCCTGAGGTGGTGCCACCGAGGCTGCAACAAAAATGATTGGTGGAACAGCTAACAGGAATAAATATTAGCATTTGACACAGATAAATGGACACTTTGTTTAAATAAAAAGGGGCAATATTGCATTTATAATGTAATCCAGATTGCAATGCAACTTATTTAAACTCCATTTCTATTTCAAAATACAATTAAAACAACATATAACACAAGAACAGACTTTAGAAAAATAAATAAATAAATATTAGAGGTATTCTGTTGCTAATTTTTTCAGATCGAACACAAGTACTTCAGTTTGGGTACTTGCTGAAACTGAGTACTGATACCAAGTAGTTAATGACTACTTAAACATTACACAATGACTTTAGAAGCACACTTTTTTTAATTAAAAACAACAGTCTGCTGTCTTAATGTCACATGTTTATCTTAAAATATCTCTAAATTACGAACATTTGTTATTATTTGTCCTCAGTTACTTGCAAAGAGGAAGAGGAAATGACATCACCAGGCATAAAAGTGGTATTTGGTCCTGGATATCAGGGTGTTTTTATGAGTACAAGTACTAGTACTTGAGACTGGTATTGGACCAGATAACAATACCAGTATCGGTATCAAGACACCACTAATATATATTCTGAATTAGAATCTAAGGCCATCAACAGGCCTGAAAATAAACCCTAACTAAATTGTTGCATCAGCCCTTTTCTTCACACCTGATTAGAGTTGGCTGCAGACGTGAACATGGACAGCTGAGCACATCGCAGCTTTATCAGCGCTCAAACTATCCTCCTGATGATGCTTGGAAAAAGCCCATGCAGCTGCATGAAATCTGCTTTGTGCAAACGGAGTGTCAGAATAACCCTATTAGTACTTTTGCGCGCCCGATAATAGTCTCTGTGTGAGCGTTTAGGGACGTGGGAAACCAATTACTCGTGCTGCTGTAAATTTAGATGTTTTTACTGTTTTTGCCTGACATGGAATTTCAGCTACCCAACAGCTCTACGTCTACCGTATTTAATTTTTGGTTCATCTCGTGTCAAATTCACAACAAGTAGATCGGTTTGGCACCCAAGCTATTTTAACAGCGTTATGCAGAGGTGGTGTGTGCAGAAACAAGAGATGTCAAATCTTTCTCTGTCAAGAAAATATCTGAATGCCTATTTATGCTTCCAAAAACCTGCAGATGTTTTGAACCTTTGCTGATGCCTCCACAGATTTTGACTATGTTCAAAAACCAGACAGTCCCTCTGCTTTAACTTTACATTTTGATCCATTAGACCAGTGGTTCCCAACCTTGGTCCCTGAGGAACACCATCCTGCATGTTTTAGTTGTTCCTATGCTCCAACACACCTGATTTGAATGAAAGGTGATTTACAGGCTTCTGCCAAACTTAAGAAAGTAATTAAACCACTGAATCAGGTGTGTGGGAGCAGAGAAACGACTAAAACATGCAGGATGGTGTTCCTCAAGGACCAGTGTTGGGAACCAATGCATTAGACTAACGTGTATCTAGATTTCCATTTATTTTATGTCCATCCTAAACGAGCTCCGAAAAAGAAGAAGATATAAACCAATGTTAAACTTTTCCAATTTTTTTGTTTCCTTTTTTCTCCATTTTTTTAAACTTTTATTTTTAAATTAAACTATTGTCAGTTTGTTATGTTGCCTTTGCATGTTTTACTGATCAGTAAATAGTTTTAGATTTTGCAAATCATTGAATATTTACTTGTTCCAAACTTTTTGGAAATGAGTTCAACACCAAGTAGTACAACACTTTAAAGATTTTATTTAAAGCTTGGTTTTAAAGTTAAGACATTTACTAAGAATCTGGTTGTGACTGATAATATTAGATTCTGGCAGTATCAAGTTAAAAGTAGTCGTAATCACAGACAGCATGCATTTTCTTCAAGTCAAATCTTAGCAGCTGTGTTCTGACAGAGGATGAGGTCAAACAGGACAGAACAGCTGAATTTCAGGACTCACCGTGATGCTGGGGCCGAACCCAGAGCCGGGCTGAGGACTAGCAGCGCTGATGTAGTTGCCCACAGCTGAATCCTGGTTGCTAGGTCCATACAGGTCAGCCACAGGCCCTGGGCTGTTGGCACCAGGAAATCCTCCGGGCCTGGAAGGGTTGGTGCCTGCACACAAACACAGCGAGAAACAAAGCAGCTTAGGAACACCTGTCAGCAATGAGCACCATTCGTTCTCGCTACAACTCAGATGGACATGTTACTGGATCCACACGTTTATTTCAAAGGTGATACAACAGCTTACAGATGCTGCAGCTCAGAATATAAATCCAATTTGAATTAAATGTCCGTTTAAAGGACGTAAGATTTAAGGGTTATGCAATTTTAAATGAGTGAATCCAGTATGATATTCCAAACTGAGTCTACATGCTTTGTGTCTTATGCACAGAGTAACATTCAATTTGTGTATTCATGCACAAAACAAAACAGGCACATCGCTTAATGTACTTCCACCATGCCAGTAAACGTAGGTTGCAGGGTTGTCATGCATAATGTGAGGGAGTACTTCTAAAGCAGTATTTGCTTCGGAGTAAGAAGAGTTACTCCAGACTATGTTGGTAAAGATTTTGAATTTCTCTGGGGCGTTTTGAACCCAAACATTTGAAGTACTTGTACTGTCAAACATGACATGAATTACAAGCAAGAACAATCTAAATATTGCCCGTTTTTATAGTACACTGAAGTAGCTTCCAGCAAAAAGCAAAAGTATTTTGTCAGGCAAGAAAAGGAGGCATAAACTGGCAACATAAAAGCCTGAACCGAGTTCGTTTGTAGGTCCGAACTCAGTGGGAGATAAAAGAGAAATACTGTACATGACTTACCACCTTTGCCCTGTGAGTAAGAGCAACTCAGACTAATAAAATGTCTTTTGAAAATCCATATGCCCACTAAAGGCCAATAACACTGGCAATACAAGGGAAAAAACAGGCAGGGAGGAAGAAAAACGTGGTGATCTCTTAACAGCAATCTCCTTTGCTGTCAGCTTCACATAACCCTCCGTCTCACCCTTATTCACACGCAGACTGAGAGGAGAAAAAAAAGCTGCGTTAAAAAGAAAAATCTTCCGAGTACAAAAAAAACTCTCAATCTTGTGTATATATGGGCTAGTGAACCCTGCGATGCCTGAGAGGAGGTCTTTGTATAACACTTTAAAAACAACACAGTGTGACTGCAGTGCATCCGGTGTGTTCGTGTGGCAAAAACAAACTGGAGCTGTTTAATGTGCCACTCCTCCATCTACCAGAGCTACATTAGAAGGGTTAACTCCAGTTAAAGCCACCTCAATATGCTTTAGATATCCATTTATAGCACTCGAGGAAAATGAAGCCATCTGACTAAACACGCGTCTCGAGGAGTTGACAGTGCTGTTTGACTGTAGGAACTTTAAACAGCAAGCAGCTCGTGCTCTTATCTTGCCTGTGCAGCCCCCAGAGGCATGGCTTATTATATAATTAAGGATTTTTTCAGTTGAAATGGCAGTTCTTATTATCTCTAACTAGTGATTTTTACTGGAGTAAGGCACCCCCCCCATTTCTTCATGTAAAACTGTTTTTTAAATTTATTTAAAAGAAGGAGCTGCACCGGTTCTGAGTTTAACTTTGGTAGTCACAAAAGGAGAAAAACAAAACACAAAGTGACATGAGTATTACTCTGTAGCACAAATTCATATTAGACAAAACATATGATCGTGGTTGTATTGCTAATTATTATGAAAACAAGATCAGTTGTGATAACCTCACTACGACTGTATCATGATTTTGTTTTTGGTTGTTGTGGTGCAAACACACCTTGGCAAAAGGCCAGAAAATGACTGTACAGTAGTCCCTTGTTACTTGGCGGTTCGACTTTTGCACTCGCTCTTTCACGGTTTTTCGAAGTAAGATTGTACATGAGAAAAAAAAATTGTACACGACACATGACTGTCAACTTTAATATTACTCACATGATTGGGACAGTACAGGATAAGTAAAAAGTTAACGGGGGGAAAAAAAACACTTCGGTAAGGTGTCGCCATTTTGTAGTTTTTGGTCAATAAGCCTACACTGTATTGCCACTCAAATGGACTACATTTCCCAGAAGCCAACAGTGCCCTACCCAGAAGCTCCCACAGTGCTTCCAGCTGTTGCTCTGCTGAAATAGAGGGAAAGTTTTGATCCGATCTGAAAAATTTTGGTCCTTATCCACAGTGACTTCAGCGCTCAGTGGATGCAGAGAGCCGTACAGAACCGGACCAGAACCGGCAGGGTAAAAAAACTTAAAATTTTAAGTTGAGTGAATAAACATTATTATCAAGTTATCTTGATTAATAAACTCTTGCAAAATAAACTTTTGATTTAGTTTAATGGATTTAAATTTAGTAGTTGACTGAACTGTTTTGGTTTGTTGTTTCAACTTAGAAATCTATGTCAGTTTAACTCAAGTGTTGAATAAATTAAAAAAATACTTAAAGAAAAATAGCATTCCTACTTTGCAGTTTTTCACTTATTGTGTGCAGGGGTGGGGGGTCCGGAATGTAAACCCCACGATAAACCAGGGACTACTGTATTTGGAAACAGGTTGCTAATCATCAACTTACAGTTCATAGTTTCCAACGAAACAACAACAAATGAAAGTGACTCACAAACACAATGAGCGTATAATGAGTGTACTTAAGTATAACAAATCCCTTTAACTGTTGAATTTTAGCAGAGCTGATGCGAAATGATGGGCAGTAACTGCTTCAGCTTGCAGAGCCGACCAAGCACAGCTGACTTTATACAGTTAAGCAAAAATAATAATAAAAGGCCCATTTCTAGTACTGTGCATAAGAAATGCAATTTATAAGTAAGACAAACACAAATCTAGAACATTCTGTGCAGTATATTTATCTACTAAAATCCTGATCAGCTCTCTTAATGTAGGAAAAAAAGAGTCATATATCTTGAAAAATGTTTTTTATGTGCTTTTATCCACTTGAAACGCTCAAATAAATGGAATCGTTGTTGCTGATTTTGGTGTAATTAGAGTCAAGGTTGGCTGCAGATATAAAGTCCATCGTGCAAACAACACGCACATAAATCACGTTACTGTGCAATCAAGCTCTGCTGACTCACTCAGGATTTGAATGTGTCCTCTCAGGCGAGAAAAGCCTGCGCTTTATCAAGCAAGCAATACCTCAAGAGGATTTCGGGAACAAAGTGTGCATCATCTGCGTCCAACAGAGCAACTTCTAGCTGAGGACACTTCAACACAAGACCCTCTCTAATCACATGGCAGCATGTAAATTAGCAAGACAAATGCATTATTTTGTATTTGCAAGAATGTAAGAAAATCGTTTTTTCCCTTGTCATACAAAAGAACACAACTTAACAGATCTAACAGAAGAAAAGACTGTGGTAAACAGTGTTGCTTCCTCATTAGTGCTGAAGCCGAATGCCTAAAACAAACTCCTCTAAATATTTAGGTCAGGATCTTGGTTTAAGGCTCGTCATTGTGTGCTTTCCTGGAATTATTGCAAAATAAACAAATGCCAACAATGCTGGGTGCAAACACTTCAATTCTGAGTGTAAGACCTGGCCCATACTTGTATAACTTAACAACCCAGAGCTCATTCTTAACTAATTCTTTGTAACCGATATAAAAAATGGAGGTGACGTGTTGGGAAGTCAGTGACACTATAAGGCCTTCTTTACATCAGATAAAGTCCCAGCTATGATGTCAGAAACAAACAAACAATAAAAATAGCCAGAGCGCAGATGGTCTTCAGGTGTGTATTAATCACAATTACACATCATAAAGTGTGACAGGCCCACTATGATTTTAATTATGGAAAACTCCTCAACCAAGTTTGTGGTGGTTTACCTTTATGGTGACAGCTTATTGGGGTCCTGAGTGGACTGTGGTGATAGTAACATTGTTGTGAGACCTGTGTGCACTCATGTGGCTTAGACTGCATTCACACTGATTTTTTTGTTCAAATATGATTTTTTTGCGTAGTTGTTTACATTATCATTAAAATGCGGCTTCCATCAGACTTCAGTGCGAACCGTTCACAGTTCTGAGGTGACCTGCATGCGTAGAAGATATTCTGACTAGAGCTTAACTGATACAGACATTCTGGCTATCGCTGAGACCGATATTGGGAAGGGAAGGTTATTAAGATCATTATTTCTCAATAACTATTATAATGGCTGAAAATCTTTGAGCTTTGTCCTCCTCCACGAATCTAAGTAACCAGCGAGTGGAACGAGGCTTGTTTATTTAGCATGGCTGTTAGCAACCATGAAGCTAAGCAAATCAGATCCACGATTTAATTAGTCGCACTCTAGGTTTACGAGTGGTGCACTGGTCATAAAAACAGTCTTCCTAACGCAAGTTCACATTTTCTATCCTCCACTATTCACCATTTATCAACTGTGCTACAAAAATATAAATTAAACAAAGAAATAGTTTAAACAGTCACGTTTTGTGAAGGCCTAATTAGTACTGACTGCAGTGGCATTTTTCTTCTTTGCAGAGACGTAAATATTTCAGACAAACAATGCATTTCATTAAGGATGACAAAGATAGCATTATTATCACTGATATATATTTACCACTATATTAGATTTATTGTTCTGGATAAAGTTGTAAAAGGCAATAGCCTATGCTAGGTTATCTAAATGTTAGCTTGCTAACTTGAGAGGCACGCTAATGGCAGGCTAATGGCAGGCTAATGACAAGCAGGTTGGAGGATTGAAGATAATTTATTGTTGTTGATTTATTTCGTTTTACAGATCAGTTAAAATAAACTTACCATGCTCTGTTCAGCAAAATATGTTATACAGTATTTAGTTTCTCCCTGCTTTGTGCTGAAAGTGAAACTTAAGTAAACGGCCATGACTTGAACATAGTCCTCATGCACCCTCTGCTGGATACATTGTACAATTACAGCTGGTTCCAGCATTTTAGGGATGAAAATTAGAAGTGTTTATATCGGCGTATAATGGGACAATTATCAAGATACCGATAGGTCCCTAAACATCTATATCAGCCTAAATTATCGACCCTATAAATATATCGGTTGGCCTCTAATTGTGACATCACATACAGCACATGTTTAACAAAGTAAATATGGATGCTAGCATTTGTGATTCTGAAGTTATTGTGCAATCAGAACTGACTAAATCATGTGGCAGGCTTGTTTGGTCCAGTGTTTATAATTAATCTGGCCTCTTAATGGCTCCTCTGGTGCCATTTTTGGAACAGGAGCAATGCACTGAGCGCAGAAACAAACTAAAGTATCAATCCCATCACGTCAGTATTGATACGGCCCGACACTAACATTAGTATCATTTGTTGCTGAAGATTCTCAGTGATCCAGTCCATGACATATTAAAAAGAACAAAGACGAAGCAACTGGATTTTTGTTCTGTAGCTGTAGACGTGCATAGATCCAAGATTTAAACTGCACAAGGTTGGTATCATTACTATTAATACTTGGATCGATCCCTCTACCCTGACCTCACTGACGTAAAAGTCAGATGAAATGCGACAGGAACGTTCAGTCTGCCATGAAAATATTTAATTTGGGTTGCATATGGTAAATAAAACTACGATTTGGGCCGCTGCCTGCAGTGCGGACGTAGCCTTAGCTGTAAAGAGTTTGAAGCAAGATTGGCCACGCTGACCTCATGCCTAGGATAAAACCGTGAAAAAGTAATGGCAACAACTTGGAGCACACGTGATGCCTATGGCACTAGAATCATGCTAACATAGAGTGTTCTTTTAACTCGTGACTTCACCCTGACACGATCTGCAAAAGTTACAGTATGTAAGTTGGTGTATAAAGCGTGGTGAAGGACTAGGAGAGCATCTCAGGGGCACAAAAAATAGCAGGAAAAACCTAACTGGTGAGTACCATATCAAAAGTTCAGCAGTGTAATGATTCACAATGAAGGAGGTTTTGTTCTGATATCTTGTGTAGGTTGTAGAAAGTCTAGCTGGGTCAAAATCCAGTGTGAAGAGAGTCTAAGAGACAACTGGCATGGTTTGAGATACCATTTCTATCTGATTTTAATAAACATCTGCTCTCAAGTACAAAACAAATTACTTCATTGTGTTTGTTGCTATTAATCCAATCTAGTCTTGTTATTTTGCTGTTCACAACAATGAATACATAAAAAGAAGAATTACAGGAAGTACAAAAGGTAACATGAGTGGTACAGTTGTCTGTATTGAGTGAAAATGTTTATTTGTAGATCCGTTTTGCTTGTTTTAAACACTAATAACCTGAGAAATCACTCCAACTCTTACTCTTCTTTACATAAACCTGAGTTCAGTTAGAGAGGCTGTCGTACTCTCTGACATCATAATTGTTGCGTTCACATGCAAATGAAAGTTTACATTTTCTATGTTTTGGCCCCTCATGTGCAAGCAAGGGCAGAAAAATAACAAAAAACAAAACAAAACAAAAACCTATCTGAATTTTAAAGATTGGAAGAAGAACATGCAATGCTCTTTTGTCAGCAACAAGTTTTTTTTATCTAAAAATTTTTAATGGGATTTTTTTTTCTAAAGAAAAAAGATGCCTATAAAAAAACAAAAGATTTGTTCAGTTGCATAAAATAATGTTATGAATCAAACGGAAAATTACAAAAAATGTGGATGAGATAAATGCTCATATACAAACCTGGGTTCTTAAATTGATCCGGGCTGTGTAGGTGCTGGAGGGGGGAGTTGCAGGCGGAGGTGGCATGCTCACTGTGCAGCATCTGAGCCGCTTGGGGCCCCAGGGAGCCATAGTCAGCAAAGGAGCAGGGCCCCCCCCTCTGGTCACTGGGCGCAGAGTAAAACCCATAATCGGGGAGGCCTGGGAGATACAGTACAGGGTGGGGAGGGGGGGAGGGGACTCCATCATTGTGGAAATGAACTTTTTTTCACAGTCAGTGTCCAGATTGTTGAACATAACATACTGGTGTTCCTCCACCTTTTTTGGTTTAGCCTGCTCTGATTGGCCCTCCCTCCCCACCCTCCCTTCCCAGCAGCTCCAGTCAGTTGGCCAGACACCCCCCACCATCCCCTTCCACTCACACCCAGAAAATGGACTTTCTTTCAGACTTTCATCTGCATTGGGCATATTAGCTCCATAGGAAAGGGTACATAAATCCTGTGCATAAAACGAATGCAATCATAGTAAAACCTCGTCTTCTGTTTTCCCTCGACTCGTTTCTACTTGACCGACAGCATTAAAAACCCATAAGACACATGAGTTCGACATTTTGGCTTTCACATAATTGGCCTGTCCTAAAGCTGTGATAAAAGAGAGAGATAAAACTGAAGAATCATTAAAAAATAAAAAATAAAACAAGTCAATGCATTCGCCATTTTCAAATGGTCAGTTCTTGGTGACGAACCTGAAGGAAGGAAAACACATTGCACTAATCAATAATCAATCCTCCGCCTCCTTTCCGACCAATACAAACTGATAAGGTTTTAATGTGAATGAGATCCCGAGAAATTCCCGTGTATTGATGTTAAGTATTTTGAAGTGCTCCGAGTACTCGGAGCGTCTCAAATTGCCCTCTTTACTTCTTTCTTTGACACAGATGGTGGATTATAAACAGTTGAGAAAATGCCTTTCCACAATAAGTCCTTCTGACATTTAGTGCTTGTTCTCTTAATCTGAGACAAGCTGCTCATATAAAGAGAGCAATTAAAAAAAAGTCTCCTTCCGCACACTTCTTTGATAATGGAGTTAATCTACTCTGTGGGACTGAGATTGGTGACACTGGCTTTCCCTTGCTGGGTTTCCCCCGCTGTTTGTTTGTGTGTGCACGTTTTATTTATTTATTTTTTATTTGGGTCCTGGAGCAAATAGCCATTCAAAACCACTTCACCTATACCATTCAGAGCGAGACAGTCCACTTCTGCCAAATGGAATGTAAGCACCAGCCATGTTTCTCCCCGCCAATGCTTTTTAGCACTCTGATCTCACCACTTGTGGGCTGTCTGCCCACTCATCAAATTATAGGCTCCAAATAGGGCAGGCTTCCCACGTACGTCACATAATGCCTGACACATTGAACAAAGCTCAAGAAGCAATCATTCCATTTACTTCACTTAGACAAATGCCACTGAAAATTGATTGGCCCTGCTAATGAGTAAATCTGGATCAATGGAATAATTACAACGGGGAAGAAACATGTGACAATGGCACAAACCGTGTTATCAGGAATTCATAAGGAAGTCGTTCCATTTATATCACAGATATAAAACGATGACTGTTGGAACTAAACAGTCAGTACTTTTGCTCACAATCAAACTTTTTTTTCCTCATAAATATTTTTACTTAACCTGCTCTGAGACTTGAGTTGTCCAAGGCCAGAGAAATGGACTAAGACCCTAAATTTTAGTTGACAGTAAGATTTAGAACAGGATCAAAATGAAGAGAGAAGAGGAAGAAGTTAAAACACCTCTTCCCTTGATTGTCAGAAGAGTCTGTAACCACTTGCTCACTCGTCACCTTCACATACAACGGCATTCAAGCTAGCATTTAGCAATCACACCATTGTCAAACTAAGTCAAAGTGGAAAAAACTTAATGGATTTGGGAACATCCAGCAGCTACAACACATTTACTGATTCTTAGTGTCTTGAAGGATGAAATGAAAATCAGAATTACCTGAAACCTATCATGTTCAATAATCTGAAAAGTACTCTGAATCATGCTCAATAATCCAGGTAGAACAATCCAACAAAGTTAAGTCAGTGGATGGTTTCTTTTGTGTTGAAACGTTTCATCTTTCATCCAAAAGACTTCATCAGTCTGAGGAGCCACAACAAACTCAGTCTTATAAATAGCTCCTTCTCATAGTGGGTCAACCAGTTTGATGGAGCTCAGGTGGTTTCTGGAGTCTGCCCTCTCTCCCGCCGACTCGTTTGAGGCAGTCTACCTGGATTTTTCTACCTGCATTATTGAGGATGAATCAGGATATTTTGAACCACTTTGGCCACGACTGCCTCAAACAAGTTGGTGGGGGAGAGGGCGGACTACAGAAACCACCTGAGCACCATCTGATAGACTCTGAGAAGTCTTGTCATGAACATGAATTCCTCTTTCACTGTATATAATCACTGCTGTACTTTAAACACATCTGAGTACATTAAATTTGAGCATTGTGACAGGTAGAATAAGTTTTTAAGATTGCTCGATCTTATTACAATTAGTTATTATTTTTATCCTGATGCATGCTCAATAATCCAGGTAGAAAAATCCAAAAAAGTTCAATCTGGTCCTCTGGACATTCAAAAAAAAAAAAAAATAAAAATTGTTTTTTTTTTGAATGTCCAGAGGACCAGATTGCACTTTTTTAGAGTTATTATTTTTGTTTGCACTTACTCGACATGAGATTAGCAATTTCATCCCCACTGTATTTTAAAGATTAAACTTTATCCATTGTTGGAACGGTGAGTTTGTCACTACTGTAAATATAATTCAGCATCAATCAGTAATATTTTGTTTTAGGTTACATTCATGTTAGCATTAGCAAAGTGAAGCGCTCCAGGTGTTGGCGTGCTAGATTACAGGATGGGAATTTTCCTTCTTTCAGCTGCTCCCTTATTCAGGGCCAGATTACAATCAATATGATTTTTTAGGTTTATTGTGATGACGTGTCTTATTGTAAAAATGGTGTTTATTAGTATTATAACGATACTATTATTAGCTGAATACAAGACAAAAAGGAAGATGCAGATGCACTCTGAGTTAGCATGGTGCATGTGAGAACTACTCTAACCTAGACAAGCAGCAAATGTGTTTTTAAAGCCATAAGTGGAAATCAACTTAAAGCTGCAAGTATTGTTTAGCCAAACACTGCACAGACTGAATGTAAAGGCAGAATTTGCTCTTTCAAAAAGATTATTTAAACACGACAAAAAAAAAAAAAAAATCCTCCGTAAGATCTGCAAAACTATCTTCGTTAATGAAGAGAAAAATACAAATAAAACTTAAATCGATGCAAGCAAATTTCAGAATACTACAAATCAGACATACATATTTACAAATGTTGTAAAATACATTTGTAATTTCTCCTTGCCAGCAGCAACCCAAGGAAGCGTTAGAGACATTAAAAACCGATTTGATTACGAAACAAAAACAATCTGGAGTGAAAAATCACTGAATCAATAATGCTTCCTGTTCTTACAAACTTTCCTTCAAAGCAATGATCGGCTCCAGAGCACAATGTAGACTAAGCCTACACGTTCTCACCATTTATATCTGACAGCAGGTGTTGGTGGGTGGCGGTGTACGCTAAAGAAATGTACAGCCCCACACCACACCGTACAATGAAAATCTTTCTTAAAGATGTCACATCAGGAAATGTTTCCTGACTTTATATGACATTTGAACAAATAATAAAAAAGTGAGAAACTGGCAGCTTACATGCTGTTCCATTGTCTACACGTGTGGGAGGCTCAGGTAAGAAACTGGCTCGGTTCGACACAGTCATGGCGTAATAATAAAAAAAGGAGAACAACTCATACACAAACATACAGGCACACACATTTTCAGAGCCATATATTTTCATCAGCGGGTATCTGATCAGTTATGCAGCATGAGACTGGGCAGAGTGCGCCCACAGCTGCATTAGTATCACCGATCATATCACCCCGCCTCAGACCATCCCACTATTAATATTCACACAATCTATCCAGAACAATGGGCCTTTCTTGGACTCTTTTTTTTTTCCTCACTGGTCACTAATTGGATGTAATTACTCATCTACAAAACAAATGAGCGTGTTGAGGTTGCCTTGGAGACTAGATCAGGGGACCCAGCAGTGCGAATCGTTCGCAGGGCTTCATTTATACTGATAATTATCTCCCCTGCACCCACCCCGTTTCCCTCCTGCCCTCAGTGACCAAAGCTGGCTGCGAGGCGATGGAGAGGGGAGTGTCTAGCAGTCATCTGTTACTGACATCATCGGGGTGGCTCTGCGGAAGAGGATAAATGTCCTGTTCTTGTTCCCACTTTGCCAGGTGGCTGCCTTTAAGGAGGAATCGCAAACTTTGAAAGTATTCTCGTTTTCACACCACTTGGAAACTAAAATTGATCACTCTTAAGTTAATGCACCCTTTAAGACTTGAGGATGCAGCAATTTGCAAGATAATGACTAAATTATTCATAAGCTGAACAATTGGAGTAAAAAAAAAGGATTTTAAAGGCATGGTCAATGATGCAAATGTTAACTAAAGTTTTCCTTCCAACAAAACCGGAAACAGTTTCCAGTAAACCTTCTTAAATTCTGAATCTGACAGGAAAGTCTGAGCTTTTGCACTATTCCGGAAAGCTCTAAATTCTGATTACTAACAAACAAAAAAAAAAGACTTTGAAGCCTGAAATATACATAAACATATCTGTTATTAACACAGCCAACAAAATCCGGGGCCTGGGGAGAACAAAAATCTATGAGCTAAAGTTATTTTCATGTCTGCAAACATGGAGTTGTTCATGCAGTCACTTCCCCCCTCTCCCTTGCGGCGGCAGTGAGATTCCTCGGTGGCCATCAAGCTACATCGCTCTACAGAAGATGTCAATAAACCTGACACGCGACTCTTCAAATTAGCTTTGAATTTCAGAGCTACCATAATTAGCTCTTCCATTTTCACCAATGTCATTTAAAAATAGCGTGAAAGAAACTAACAGCTCTTTTGCCGTCTGGCCTTGCTTTCACTTTCCATTTGAAATAATCTTTTCTGAATGAATGGCTGAGTAATTAACAGCACTAGACACCCTTTTTCAGAGAGCAAAGACATTTCATAAATAATACATATTTAATGTCTTTTCATTTTGTGTTCAGAGAGGCTTGGC